CTCACATGCTGGAATGTTGAAACTCTACTTTTGTCGTCCATTTTCACGTTTGATTGAGCCATCATATAGAACTGTTTTCACTCTTAAGTCATAAGTTTTGCACAAATCTTGAATTTTTACACATCATCTTGAACCATGCTCCAGTCTTTCCAACAAGGTACTATGGAATATCAAAGCAATTTTGATTTGTCACAACAGCTTCAGATCATGATACGCTTGAAGTTTCAGTTTGTTACACCATTTGCCAGACAAACCTCTACAAAATGTGTATCAACTCCCAAACTAAGCAATTGATTATATCAGTATTTGCAGTTTCCACACAATGTTTCATAATATTATTCGATTTTATATCAAGAAACTCAAATAATCCACAAATTGTTATTGAAACACTCCCACTTCAAGAGCTCACAGCAATAACAATACAAATTCAGAAGCAAACAACCATTGCGCCAGATTTCGTATGAAACGCGCCATCATCCTGAAGTTTCTACCACAGACGGTAGTTCAACCGCAGCCGTAGTGCAAAAACCCCTGCCCACCTTACCCCATGGCGGAGCTCGGTTGCAATTTGTAAATACGCCTATAGTAACCTAGACGGCCCACTGCCGCGCCGCGGCCGGCACGGAATCGTTCCCGCATGGGGGCGCAGTGGCGCCACCTGCAAGTGGTCAGAAGTTCCCGGCCCCTATAGATGGTCTATGTGAAGTGGGTAACTTTTGAAGTTGATTTTTGTGAAAGATACAGCCTGCGGATGGCTGAAAAGGATTGTTATGCAACTGAACATGCTTTCTTGAGGTGTGATGCGCTCGACTGCCAACAGGATGGCTCGAGCCATGCAATAAAGTGCATTATTCCAGATGACCCGGACGCTGGCGGTACAAAGCATACCGCAACGTGGAGAGCCTCCCTGCCGTAGGTAAGGCCATGCAGGACCAGGAACGTACCCGCTTCCTACTCAGGTGGACAAAGATGATCACTTAGCAACCGAAGGGGAGGGGTCCGTTCGACCCCCGCCCTATTCGGGCGAAGGTATTACCCTCGCCCGTATGGGGGAGGGGTCAAACGGACCCCATCTCAGTTTTTCGCGAATAACTCGCGTAAAAAGCGGCCGATCACGACGAAACTTTTAGCACCCTCGCGATAGTCAATTATACACCAACCCTGAAAGTGTCATGACCCTGAGCCAAATGACCTTTGACCTGTGACCTACTTTTCAAGACCATGTTTGGCCGGAATCGCAATTCGGCACATGGCTGGCATTAACCGCGCGTTAGCAGTCTTTTCGTGGTTTCAAGCGTTCAAGCATGTGATATGATGCTGCTCCCGTGCATTAGGGTAAGTGTCAAGGTCACTTGAAGGTAAGGTCAGGTCAGGTCATCGACCTAGTTTGATGACCTCGGCTCACTTTTTCGAGTTTTACATGTTTGTAGGCTAATTTTTGGAGCTAACTTCGAATTTAGCAACCATTTGAGCATTCACGAAGTAGTCTTGGTGCCTTCGTAACATGTTACGAAGCTGTTAGAGGCGGTTGACACCTACTACGAATACCTACCCGGCAGGACCCCTACTGGTTGACCTGACCTGACCTGACCCAACCAGGCCTTATAAATGCATCAAGACATCATCTGTAATCAAAACTAACATGATATTCGTGATCAGCAGCCCGATAAACCCCGTAGCAGCCACACTTTACAACGTTCCAATAGGTCCCGATTTTCCCGACTTTTGGGTCATTATTGACCTGACCTGGAAGGTCACCCAATGACCTAGGACCTTAAAATCAGGTATAATCGGCTGCCTCTCGTCTACTTGCAATTCCATCTCTGACAGTCGGCCAGTGCTTACTCGTATATCGGGGGTCGGCAACTTTTTTTGGGTGCGGGCCAGATAGGTAAGCGATTCGGAAGCAGCCGGCGGGCCGGAGCATGGCATGGCTGCAATTTGCTACAGTCACACGCAAAATTGAGAAATATGACAGCGTAATTAATAGACTGGTGTATGGAAAATAAAATCGATTTATGAAGGTACCGAGGGCCGGAACGCAATGTTAGTCGCTGTTACCAGACGCGAGCCGGACGTCAAATGGTCGCGGGCCGAATCCAGCCCGCGGGCCGTAGGTTGCCGACCCCTGGCTTATATAGATCACCATCGATCTGGAATGATCATCTTTGTCCACCTGAGTAGGAAGTGGGTACGTTCCTGGTCCTGCATGGCCTTACCTACGGCAGGGAGGCTCTCCACGTTGCGGTATGCTTTGTACCGCCAGCGTCCGGGTCATCTGGAATAATGCACTTTATTGCATGGCTCGAGCCATCCTGTTGGCAATCGAGCGCATCACACCTCAAGAAAGCATGTTCAGTTGCATAACAATCCTTTTCAGCCATCCGCAGGCTGTATCTTTCACAAAAATCAACTTCAAAAGTTACCCACTTCACATAGACCATCCACAGGGGCTGGGAACTTCTGACCACTTGCAGGTGGCGCCACTGCGCCCCCATGCGGGAACGATTGCGGCGTGGGAGTAGGCCGTCTAGGTTTCTATAGAGGTCAATGTTGTCGACAATCATATATGGTAGCTCTTCAGAAGCTTGATATGGTAGCAGCTGGGTAGCGGATTTTTTGAAGGAAGTCCTTCAGCTTCTTTCCTCTACCGTATGTTCAATATTAGGGTAAAGTGCCTAATTAGCGACCCTTTCCGATTTGCGACCTACCTCCCTACAGAAAAACTGGCGGGAGAAAACGGGGTAAAAACATCGTCAAAAGGTCAGACATACTTAAGTTATCAAATTAAATTACTTTACGGTTGTCGATGTTTTTGGTGGAACGTTTCAGGTGAGTTTAAATAAAAATGACGAGTTTCTTATCCAAAACGTGTGTGTTTGGGCCCTCTCTGATGAAAAGCGATGCACATTAGGATGATGCACCTTTTTTATTCTGAATCGACATTCCTTTTTCAATTGATTGCCGTTTTCCCATAGTGAATCGCTTAACTGTGTACAGCATGGCGGTTAAAAATGTGTCGCAACTCATATTTCCTATTTGCGCCTGACATGGTCGCAAATAGCTCAACAAGGGAAAGAAAGGGGAAAAGAGAGAAATGAAAATGTGGTGTTGCTGAAGCTTGCAATGTGTGGCAGGGGATGTCAAATGTCGTCACCGACTGCAGGGGTGCCGAATTCAGCGCGGACCTCGAATATCATACGAGATAGCCCGCAAAATTTGGGTTTTCGCCTTCTTTTCGCCTTCGGTGCATCACGTGATCAGTTTTTACTTACGTAAATGTGTTGGATAAACGTTCCTGTTCGAGTGATTGAGTGTTTTGCGTATAGGTTACCTTATTGAGATCATAATTTCATCTTTTCAGACGTCGTATTTTTTGCCATTTTTAATATGGGGAAACCCATAGACTTATTAGCGACCCTCCCCGGTCGCTAATCGGGAAGAGTTCCCTATTAGCGTTTTTTGCAATGGTTTGCCAAAATGCTCACTACAAATAAGTTAGTGAATATTGGGGCAGAAAATGACTATATTTTAATAGAAAAATGAACGACCTCTCCGAAAATCAAGCCAGTAATACAGTGGCACCCACAGAGCGTGAGCAATGACGGTTCAAATTAAGGGGGTCGCTAATTAGGCACCTTACCCTATGTGTGTTGTGTTCTGTTTTGAAATGCTGAATAAACGCTTGACATTGCATATCAAACAGTTTCAAGATGCTGCTCATAGTTCAAAACACAGTACTCTAACAGACACGCTCAAAACTACAGATCTTTCCCTTAAAAATCCTAATCATCCCCACGGAACCCTTGTTCAACACACTCGAAGCGCCCTCTACACTACCGTCCTCCGACCCCGAGATCCAGAGGCCAGCCTTGGCCCTTGTGCTTCTAGTCCTATAGCGCTCCGATGGACCCCAAAGAGCCTTTCTAACTTCTGGAATAACCAGCACGGTTATCGAGACTTCGTCTAGCCTCTTGACCTCAGACCTTGACATTGCCTCTAGCACTCCAGCTTTCTCACAGCCCACGTCTCCCTCATTTAGCCATTCGTTGCCACGTTCATAACTATGTAGATTACTGCTATCGTTTTGACTCGTGGCCTCACGCCGGCATTATGACGTGGTGAGTGACACCGGAATACCGTTTAATACCGTCTGAGCGAAACAGGGCACTGGGAAGCTTTTTTTTTTTGTGTGATTCATTACCGTTTAGTCGGTTGGTGCTCGATTGACCTAGCGGTGCATTGCTAGATCAATACAAACCGACTCGACTATATGCCCAGGGCACACTGTGATAATTATAGCCTCTTAGCATCTTGCGTTGGTCATCTGATTGTAGGCAGTGAAAGCAATCCATGTATTGCTATTGATCATGAGCACATGAACAGTTTACATTTTCATTACTCCACAAGACATTACACATATTTTTATGACCAGCAATTGCGTACTGAATAGAAAACAAACCACGACTTATCTATGATCAAAGGCGCATGAAAAGTTAACACCCGACGCCCAGTATAAGATGAACATGACATAAATGTCCACGTCTAATACTCAAGGCGTGATTCGACTTGAGGCGTGAGTGCGACTCCCATGACACTTCCACTGTTACCAAAAATCGTATTAACATACCTTCGAATAAAATGCAGAACAATCAGGTACACATTACACATCGGAGTGGTTGTAACACATCTTGGTGACGATTACGACACTCGAGCGTCAAAAATAAAAGACGGGCACCCGGGACTGCAGATTGCACAAGCTTTTAGACTCGTCAGCCAAGGTACTAACTAACAAACTTGAATATAAAATGTGTAGTCGCTGTAACACATTAAGCATCATTGCCATGAAATTCGAAGTTGCACTGCACTCTCTTATTTACAGCACATGCATGGCTAGCCATTTTCCCATCATGTGGCCTTATTCCAGTACATACGGGCAATCCCTGTCACACCAACTTAGTAGTGAGTCGCAACTCAGTAACCCGTAACAACTCGAACACCTAGATGAGCCTGTCGAACGCTCTGGAGAAGTCCTGCATCCACGTGAGCAGGTTCCTTGACTGGGGCCTCCTCTCCGGGTCCAGGTTCCAGCAGCTGAGCAAGGTGGAATACCTGGAACGGGATAAACTAGTCAGCAGGGAATAGGGATTTACGACATATCATGACTTCCTATGGGCAAATATGGCCCTGGGAATATGTTGTACATGATCATCTTTTACGAGTTGCGTCATTTGGTGTGCCATCACCGAAAGTAGCGAACCATGACCAATCAGACTGAATCAATAACTCTATAGTACGGTATCAGTAAGTCACCAGTGGTGATAAAAATTCAAACATCCAAGTACATCTGCCTACAAGACGATGTCCAAGTCGACAACTTACATTTGAGCGGGGCAGGCGGTCGGCCGAGCCAGCCGGTAGCCCTCCCTGAGTAGCACCAGCACCTCCAGTGGGTCCTTGAGCTCGGAGAAGGGCAGCTGACCCAGCGAGGTCACCTCCCAGGCGGTGACAGCCGCCGACCAGACGTCGCTGGCCGGCGAGTGGCGCTCGCGCAGCAGCGACTCGGGCGCCGCCCAGCGGACGGGCCGGGAAGCTCCGTCTGCCAGCCGCGAGTACTCGGCAGGATAGAGGTCGCTGCTGAGCGCCGAGTCCGTCAGCCGGACCCGAAACCGGTCGTCAACTCTGTCGGACAAATGTGAGCCAGTCAGACATCAACGCAGCCATTACTTGTTTCAAAACGACATACAAATATCAGGAATATGTCTGTTTGCTTATATCGTCGCCCTTTGTCAGGCAGACCACGCAGAATCTGTCATCTGACTCTGTAGGTACATACAACCCAAACTATGTTTTGCGGTGCAGCATAACTTCAGGCGAAGCATACTAACGCCATCTAGCGAGAGAAATATTAACTCTTGAGCATTAGGTAACTGCATCATTCTTTTAACGACATTGTTCAATGTTCAATTTTCTTACAAATTTTAATTAAAATGAAATAAAAGATGCTTTAGCTTATTACCAATGGGTATCTGGCATGTCTAAAAACTAAAATGTTGATTGCGCAGGGCGCACCGCTGACTGCACACTGCACAGTGATGCCACTCACACGCAGTTTCTGGCGGCCACGTCCCTGTGGACGATGCCGCGGCCGTGCAGATGCACCAGGCCGGACAGCAGCTGCACCGTCATGTCCACCATGGTCTGCTGGCGGAGCACGGGGCCGGCGCCGGCGGCCCCCTCCAGCCGACACGTGGCCAGGAAGCGGCGCAGGCTGGCCGTGCCCAAGTCCGGGTAGAGCACGCACGGCGGCCCCGTGTCGGCCGTGCAGCCGAGCGCGGGCAGCAGCGCCGGGTGGCAGCAGCCGGCCAGCAGCCGTCCTTCAGCCACCAGCTGGCGGCACTGCTGCGGGCTGGCCTGCGCCGTCACCGTCTTCACCAGACAGGGCCGGCGGCCGGCGGTGGCGCGGTACAGACGAGCTGTACCGCCCTCGGTCAGCAGGTCTGTGAGGCCTAGCTCGCGCCGGTCCACGGCCGGGTACTCGGCAGGCGGCTGGTCGGTGGGCGCAGACGGCACCGGTATCTGAGGGAAAACAGGACATAGAGTCACGTCAGGAGTGAACCTACATAGGACGTAATGTTGCTAGTGTTTTGGTCGCTGACTATCGGAATGGATACGAATTTGAAACAAGCGCTTTGAGTGGCTGATTCTATCAAGGACAAAATTGTTTGACGAGAGGCTATCATTTTTTGTGCAAGACATGCGTGTCAGAAACTGGAGCGAAGCTAAATAATCCGCTTCCTAACCTAACCAAACACCACCACTTCTTGGAAAACCCTTCAACATCAACCAGTGGCAAAGTTTCCGTTACATACCGCGCTCGACCGGAGATGATCAGAAACCGTTCAGCCATAAAAAAGTCGAGTCGACTCTTTCCAGCAGTCGCTGCACCGTATAAGCGACTGCAGTCGTTTGTTGCAGTATCCTGCGAATGGCTTTGTGGGGCGTGGTCGTGGCCGTTTCAGCTGTGGTGTCGACCGGCAGCTGAGTTTTACGACGTGCCATCAGCCTGATAAGTGGGCTGTCAACGCCACAGCTCGGTAGAGCGCGCATTCGTCCCGACAGCTAAATCCAAAAAGCTGGACGATGTTGAAAGTCTTGCATGATGATTCTCACAGCCAATGACTGATAATCTAATGCATTATGAAGCGACATTTTCACAGAACATTTCAACTTGTATGGATCTTTTTAGTCCACCTCCGGTCGTTTTGAATGTCGCGCAGTAAAAATGTCATTAAAACCTGATCGCCAATCGCCATTTGGTCGTATTCGGTCAATACCTGAAACCGCAGCGAACGTTAACGTCCATTCGCCGTCGGTCAATTATTGAAGATCGATGCTAGTTTGAAACCATAAGACTACATATCGATTTTAATACGGCAGGCACCCGGCGAAAACATCGATAGGGTGTCTTTTCTGTAGCATTGACCAGACACTGGCATGTTACCATTCGTTGTTTCCATTGTTGATAGTACCAAACATAGTATAAACATTGCGCTATCCTACCTTTAGGCGACATTCTGGACTTGGTTGATTCTTATAGCGGTAGGTGGCTCATTGCCTCCAATTTTGATAGCACAAATCACTATATCCGCTTTACGCTTTGCGAATTGCGCTTGCAAAACCGCGACTGCGTACCTAACTTCTTACCTCTTCTCCCACTCCCTCTTCTTTTCCTATCTATCTTCCCTCCCATCTGTTCTGAGCAGGACTGCCATAAGACGTGACTAATTAGTCCAATACACGGCTAGGGCGGGAAGCTCCACCAGTCACGCACTAAGGCCAACGATACTGCGGACAATAACGCTACTTCGTGCCAGAGCCAGGTCAGCACAGCACACGGCTCTCCACTGCGGGACGGGAAGGAAGAGACCAGACTACGACCCAGCCGGCTACCCCCATTTACCTACGTCGCCTCGTATCGACGCTCGTTCTATCTCCGTCACACCGACCGGAGCTGGTCCAGTAGTTAGTGTAACGATCGTACCACTCTGTTTGGGATAGCGTATCGGCACGGCTGTTCGGCGCTGCCCGGGCTGTGCTGGTCCGTAGTTCCGTAGTGCTGTGCTGGTTGTAAAGACACTCAGCAAACTCACCTCAGACGAGGCGTAGTGTTGTGATGCCATGGCACCGTCGGCCAGTGACGTCACAGGCCTGCTGACGTCACTGCCGTCGTTCGGGAGTGACGTCACTGTCGGGTGAAGCCGCGGCAGTTTCTTGAGACTGGCGATGGTGGCGTAACTGCAACTCCGGGCCATCTTGTCGATAGAGTGGTAGCTTTTTGAGAGGTTCTTGGCGAATGCCCTGCTGCCACTGTTTATAGAATCAGCATGCACTGGGCTGCAAGCAGAGAAAATAACTCACAGCGGATGAATACAAGAGTATAAAGTAAAGACAATGAAAGACAATGTAAAGTAAAGACAATGGTCAATGACAATAATGAGTCATCTCAATATCGCAATAATGTAGCTAAACTAATAAACCATATTGACGATAAACAATAGTGATGGTCTCTCTGGTAGCGAAATGATGTCAACAAATGTAACTTTGGTGATTGATTTTAGGCTACAGGGACTGAATTGGGAAAAATGTACTAGACAGTGGTGTTGGGGTGGGGTTAGCCTTGTGAAAACCGCTTTGTGTCCCAAAGGTGGCAGTCTACCTTAATCAAATTTTGTGAGCAGAAGAAAAAGATAAAGTCGAAAATTGTGTCATAAACAGTGAGGAATCTCACAATCCACTCATCCATTTCTCATTCCCATCTCACCGAAGAACCACGGTGCTCTCCGGCTCCATCAACTTCAGTCTTATGTTGCCCTTAACTCACTGCACATTCATCGTACGCTGACCTGAGAGTGGCCTTGCGCTGGCGGATGACGAGTAACATCACGGCGCCGAGAGTGATGAACGTGACGGCGATGGCGCCGGCGACGCCCAGTATCAGACTGAAGTCGTGCTGCCGAGCCGCGTCACCCAGCTCCAGTAGAGAGGTGGCGTTATCGGGAGGACCGAGACGAGTCGGCCGGCCTGTGGAGCGGGAGCGGGAGCTTGCTGGGTTTGTGGTGTGTGATGTAATGAAATTGCGAATTATGGTGACAAAATACAGCTGAACTATCGCGAGTTGGTGTTTGGTTACAACGGTAACAGGTGGCTAGAAGTCATAATCATAACTATACAGCTTGAAAGCCATGGTTAACAAGTCAAATTTAAGGTGAAGGCATTCAGGCAGCTGGCTTGTAATCAGAGATTTAATTGGTTCTGCTCAAGCAACGTATCACATTAAAGGTCCACGGCTCACATCCATGATCACTAATAAGGTATAATCTTACAAGAAAAGGTCACGTTATTGAAGGTTGATCGTCCACCCGCCGCTTGAACAGCTGCTAACATTGACAAGCCGCTCAGGAAATCAAATATTGATTATTGACACAACCTTTGCAAACGCCGACGCTGCGCCAACAATGTCACAAAGGCTGCCCGTCGCTGCAGCTCATTTACTCCTAACATCCGCTTGGTAACAGGGTTTGCTTGAAAGACGCCTCTAAGGCGACTGTAAAAATATGGGCCGAAAACAGAGCTCAGCCCTAATGCAAGGGCGACAGGCACGCACTGCCCCAGATAATACGAGTGTCTCCAAACAGCCAGTTTTCTTTTTTCAACTTTTTTTTGCGAAACGTCCGTCTTGCGCAATGCGTATCGATATTGTGATGAAACACGTCTACTTCACATAACATTTTTTCGTGCAACTTTCTTGGGCACATAATAAAACGGATGAAGAAATTGATGATCAACAAAATAACACTCAACACAGCAGTTGCTCCCCATGTTTCTGAAATGCCACCTGGCGTCGAACCTACCTTGCAAGCAGGTCTTCCTGCGCTTCAGATTGAGGAAGACTATCTGCTGCTTGGGCTGGTAGGTGGTGATGTTGAGCATGATGTCCACCTCGACAACGGCGCTGACCCGGCCAGTGCACGGAAACAGCACGCTGCCGAGAGGACTGAGGTCAGGTCGGGTCGGGTCGGGTCATGGGTCATGCTAATGAAAACGTAGCATCACCAGACCACACCACTTTTTACAGCAGCAGACAGACATAATTCGGCCGCAAAAAGTGACCCAAAAAGGGCAGGTCATGGGGGTGTAGCTCAGTGGAAGAGCGCTCGCTTCGCATGTGAGATGCCCCGGGTTCAATCCCCGGCACCTCCAGTTTATGTTTAGTTAATCCTTTTCCCTTCTGATCGGAACAGCTTCCGATGGATGTAACAGTAAAAATCAGCAAAAAATAAAAGCTGATGAAATTGAGCCGGCAACGCTTTACCTTTTAATGTGTACAACAGGATGCTTAGAAAAAAAAACTAGCTGGGCAGGCTCTCGTTCGGCATAATGACTACACTATCCCAGCAAATATAGAACAAGGAGAACTGTGAAGAAACATTTGACTCGAAAACCATTCATTCTTTCCTTATCTTCAAAAACAAACAGCGCACAAAATGTTCACCCCACCTCCTCATGATCCCCTTCTCGTATCCCGATATTTGCACACAGAACGATGTTGTCTTTGTCTGTTTATAAACCATTACAATTCCATCCTTTCATATCGACTAATCTTGAACAACTGCCGTCTTCCAATATCAGGATGGCGCGTGGGCTGCCTCATTATCTCCACGAAATATCGACATCCAGTAGCCTTGCATCAGCTGACGTTGGGGTGGAGCGTGCCTCGCTGCACGGAGCGGCTCGCAACCGACCACCGACGCACTCACTGCTAATTGACTTACCAAAGAAAGCCGGCGCCCATTGCCTCGCCACAGCGGCAGTGATCAATGACCCGGTACATACGCCATCGAAACGAGCTCGGTAGAGGGGGGAGGGAGGGGGAGGGAGGGGAGCGGGCGAGGGCGGGGTATCATCGTCATTTCCTGAGCATGTGTCCATGGAGGGGAGCTCGGACACGGGTACAGAGCCGCAGCGGAGACACGGATACAGAGCCGCAGTGGAGACACGGGCGGCGGAGACGGGGAGACGACGGAGAGCAGTCGATAGGACGACAGCGGCGCTGAAGCGGAGCTGCGGGGGCAGCGGGCGCCCCGCGTCTCCGGGCGCCGATCCGTCTTGGCCGTCCTGACACCGCCTGGCGGGTTCCGGACCGGAGTTGCCGACGGTTTTCCGGGCCGGCGCTCCGGAATAAGGAGGAGGAGACTCTCAAATCGACCAGCCGGAGAGGGGAGAGGCCTCTACGACCCCGTCCGATGACTGTGACATGAGACAGCTTTCAAGAGCTACCCAGTGAAATGCGTTTGATGGTGAAACAATTTGTCTATGACTGCCCGACATAAAATCCACGATGAAAGAAATTCGGTGACGCAAACGTGATGGTGCGACCAACGCAGATACTCGTTAAATTAGTCTTATGTAATAAGCTGCTACTAAATGGGTATAGCTACGTCATCGATACTTTTTCAGCTTCTCATTTGCATATGAGTGATCTGAACATTATCGCGATGACACGGCCTAAAGCGCAAAGTGACCCGTAAATTCTGGGTAGAATTGGAGTGGAGCACATTTTGCGTGATGTTGGTGCGTGACCAACACCGATAAATGAAACACAGTCGGCGAGCCGTCCACCATGTCTAACTGAACGAAAAATGGCGTCGAATGGAGCCATTTCAATGTTAAAGTTGTGCTAATTTACATCAAATATATGCATCGTACTTCGTAGGCATTTATTTATATTTATATGAATATCTAAATGATATGTGAATCTATTTAAATCTATGACTGGCATTTATATAGAAACAGCATACTGCTACCTAGATATTAACAAGAGATGGCTTTCAAGCGACGAAGTAAATCAATTAAGATTAATTTAAGATTTGATTCGACAGAAACTCCCCTGGAAATAAATCATTATACAAAAGTATATTATTTCCGGTATAACAATACTGTCGCCTCATGGAGACCAGAGTCAACATTGAAACAAGACAACGAAAATACAAGAAAATAAGCGTCGAAGAGCAAAGTACAAAAGTAATCAAAGAGGAAAAACATCATTTGCATGGGGTATGTAAGTACCTACAGCTTACTTGAACATATATATGGATGTACTGTGTAACAGCAGCTCGCAGTACAGGCACAGCAATGGCGCCTTCAAATTATAGCCATGCTGGCATTGCTTCCTCCAGCATTAACTAAATGGAAACAATTAAAAGCAGCTACTGTCGTAAATCCCAAGGCGGTACACCGTTTAGGGGAAGCGGGGGGAACACCGCCACTGTGGGAAACACCGCCACCCCATCTGGCGGCGAAAGTATGAAATGTGAAGTGTAAAAATCCGTCATTTCCTATTAACCGCACGAAGGTAAGCGTCTTCTGATTTGTGTTCCGGTGTTTCAGTGTAATCGAAGCTCAATGTGGGCATTTAAAGAAAAATGCACATTCTCTTATAAAAATTCGATGAGTTGGGAGCACTTTTGAATGTCTTAAAGTAGAGACTCGTTTTGTTTTACTTGATTACAACGAAAAATAACTGATCGGCTTTGTCCAGTAAGATAGGTTTGCTTGAACCGTGTAGTACATGCTTGCCGCTGGCGATTTTTGCTTGTGATTACTTATTGGGGAACACCGCCACCCCGTGGCGGTGTTACCCCAATTGAGGTTGCGGTGTTTCCTGTTCTTAGCGTGATAAGTGATGAAACTCCAAAGACACGCTTTATTTATGTTCGTAGATGTTCCTAAGTCGGGAATAAGCAGCTTATTTGATTTTTTACTTTATATTTTTCATGCATCCCGACCAAGCACTTGCCAGCTGTATATAACTGGCAAACAGCTGATGAACCTATACCTATTTAGGTGTCCATTACCGATTATTTGCGAAAATTACCACTTACCGACAGGAAACTCATCGCACGCGATCTCTGAACAATTAAAAGCTTTCGTATGAATGGGTTGGGTTAACATCAACACCGGTGGCGGGGTTACCCACACAATTTGTAGGCGGCAAATATGCAAGGTATTTTTAAAAGTCGTGATACATGAAAACCTTTTAGGAGCATGCAAAATAAGTACCTAAAACACGTGAGAAAATGTTAAAATATTGTAACCAAGACAATAACTACCAAGAGACTTCACACATATTCTCTCATTTTAGCGAAAAGCTTAGGGGGGCGGTGTTACCCCCGCTTCCCCTACTTTACTAATGCTTGCAGGGAATGGCCGAATGGTTTTGCATGCGCATACTGAACATGACATACACCATTTGCTCATGCACCATTAGATGTAGATGAATATGTGGCTCTGAAATGTCTTAATTCGATGTCAATGATTGGAATATGAACCGTCATATCTAAGAATAAAACTGGATACCATATAGTTTGACAAAACATCACGCAGTAGCATTACTGCATGCGCTGTCAGAATACCAAAGCTGGAGCATGCCTTTAAGCAATTCATATTTTACACGGCCTTCGTTCCCCAGTGATACCGTATGCACTGTGCCGCGGGCCATCACGTGCCCTCCTCACCTGAACACCGCCTCTACTCGTGGCACGTAGCCCACGTACGACACGTTGGCACGTGGCTCAGACATGGCTGCCGGATCGTTCCACCGAAAACTGATTTCGTACGGCATCTGAGGGACAGAAAAGGGCAGTCAGCGCGTGGAAGAAATGGTAAAATGGTCAGATACGATAGGCTTGTCATTTTAGGTGTGTGCTGACTTCGTTGCGAAGTTCGAAATAATTAATATAAGATGGTCCAGTTTTATGACGATGTGTTTGAAAAGAGGTAAAATATATGAGAGATAACAAGCACTGAGCGGCTGAGCCAGTCGTTTGTACTTGCTCAGCTGGAATCAGAACCAAATACCAATATCACCAGGCGCACGTAGACCCTACCAGTTTTCGGACGAGGCTCTGCCAGTGGAAACTGATGCTGCTGATTCTGGCTCCGACCGGCACCACGTAGCCGGTGGCGTACTGGTTGATGACGCCCTCCTGGATGTAGTAGATTCTAGATCCCTGAACGCCTGCCGGAGAGGAAGGGTCACTTATTGAGTACACGAACTACCGTTTCAGGGTTGTTCAAGATTTGTCATAGAGGCTCAATGGTCATCTTGTTGGAAGTCATCCATATACAGTCCAAACATGGTCTTACAAAACTCGGTATTCTGAGTTGCGGACGACAAGCGTAACGTATTTAACCAAAGCGTTACAAATGATTACCTATTAAATGTTTCAATCAATCAAATGATATGAACAACATTCATCAACGCTAATGAAAAATTGCCATCGTCAATTGGTAGTTATG